GCGCCTTCCGCTCCCTTTCCCTTTCCCGTTGTCGTTGCCGCCGCTCGCCGCTGCTTCCTCGTTTCTCCATCAGGCTCAATATACTCTAAATATTAAGTTTATTTGAATTTTGAAATGATTAATTTTCTGTTAATAGATTAATAATATATTATTTTGATTTTAATGTTGTTAATTTTTATTTATTTGAAATTATTGTTATAATTATATTATATATTTTTATAATTTAGATAATTTTAAATAATTATATTATATATTTTTATAATTATATTATATATTTTTATAATTTAGCGCCTCGCTTCGCTCGGGCGAGCGCCTAGCGCCTCGGGCGTTTGTGGACCTTGGCGCCTTTTGGCGCCTAGCGCTTTTTAAATCACTGCTCGGAAGTATACATATGTTACAATGCATGAATATGGGAGCTAGATACCATTTGTAATACCAAAAACTAAGCTATTTAGTTTTCAGCCATCTGTTTAGCCACTGATTATTTTCTCAACAATATTGGACTAAACACTCTCACACTCACCCTCATGCGAGAGTCCATTTCAAATTGGTGACCACACCTCCCACAAATAAACCAAGAATTCCGTACATTAACTGTGAACCAGCTGGTTACCTTGGAATTAAGCACTTTGCTAGTGGCCTAAACATTTGCATCATGGGTAGCATACTCCACAGAAACGAAGTATAGCCCGACTGTAATGCCAAGGGGATAAACAGCAGTGTCTAACACCGTAAACGGCCGAACCAAATCACGGAATTTAATACCACTTTGTTGAAGAGATATTTGTCCAAGCACCACGAAATCGACTAGATCATGACTATGATAATCGGACACTGATAGAACCAAGTCTATCATGACAAAGGCCAATACCATATATCAATAATTATAAGGCACTTGCCACCCAATATTACCCAAAAGTAACAAAGAAGTGTATCATTGAGTCCGACTAGAAAAACCGATTAGTACACACAGTACAGAGTCGCATTTAAATCCTTACTTGAAGTAACAATGCTTTTAGGATACTTAAGGGATACTTCATATATATTTCTAAAATTTTTGTTCACCTGAGAATTGTTTTCTAATTACATTAATGGTTAGTGATTTTGATTCAATGATTTTAGTTCATTTATTATTTGTCTTATTGTGGGTACCCTATGGCCAGACGGATACAAGTTAGGTCCATTCCAGCACACAGGCACAGCATACTGTAAAACAGTACCGATCTGCCAGGGAAGGAAGAAAGGCGAAGGATGAGGAAGAAGGAAGAGGATGAAGGAGGAAGAATAAAAAGAAGGAATAAGGAATGGGAAGATCACAAAGCACAACAAATGCAACATGATCAAATATTGCTTGATCAAGATTCTATTATTATTTATTAATTAAAAATTGTTTGGTTAGGAGCTTTGACACAATGGCGAGGTTACCCATTTTGTGGCCTAGGTGCCAAAGGTTAAACTCATGGAAAAGTCTTTTCTTGCATAGGTGAAGTTATATACATTCATTCTCCTCAAACCCCATACTAGCAAGAACCTCATGCACTAAGCCGCCTTTTTTAACAATCACTCATCAGAATTGCTTGGTGAATACAATGATATGAAACAAGTATTACTAGTCATAGGTGCCCTGCAAGCCAATCACGTGAGTGATGGCACATGTGACATGACACGTACTATTTTTCCTTATTATATTTTTTGACATTTTATCACTTTATATTGCTTATTGCATTAATATATATATATATATATATATATATATATATATATATATATATATATATATATAT